CTTCAATTCACACCAATTTCTTTTTTTCTTCACCCCTCCCACCTTATTTTAGTAATCTCTACACCCAGTTGTGGGGCTTGAACTCATGATCCTGAGATCAAGAGTCACATGCTCTACCGACTGAGCCAGCCCAGGTGTCCTTAATCCACACCAATTTCACTCCCAGCAATTTATCCCAGACATATTGACCTACGTGTGAAATGATGGCCGCCACACATACCGAGGGCTGGCTCACTGGCGGTAGCAGTGGATCGGAAGCAGCCTGCACACTCATCAATAAGGGCTTGGTTAATAAGATCTGGTACATTTGTAACTGTGGTTTTTAAGCCTGGTTGAACATTCAGGTCACCTGGGTGTGGTATATTAGGATGATCTCAAATTTTCTGCCACTTCTCCTAGGTAGAGTCTAATTCCCCTTCTCTTAAATAGGAATAGTCTCTTGTTTAGGGACTTGCCTGACCAATAGAAGGAGATCACATAGATAGTCTGAGACCTTCAAGGCTGAGTTATAAGAAGCTTTGTAGCTTCTGTATTGGCCTCTCGGAACTTAAGCTCTGGGATGAGCCCGCTGCTATGTAAGAAGTCTGACGATCCTGAGGCCACCATACTGTGAGGAGACCCAAGTTAGCTTCATGAAGGGGGGTGGGTTGGAGGGAAAGAGAGAGAGAGAGAGTGCTTTATTCAGCCCCAGCCCAGGCCCTAGGCATATGAGTCGGGAAGCATTTTTGCATATTTTAGCCTCTGCAAATACGATGTGGACAGTAACCAAGGATTCCAGCTGATGTCCGAATCAAAGCCCTTAATCCATGGCTCCAATCAAACCATTCCTGCCATCTCCCAGCCATCCAGACCACCCCACCGAGGCCCCCCCCCGCCCCCAGTCACTGTGGAGCAGAGACAAGCTGTCCCCATGGTGTCCTGCCAGAATTCTTGGCCCTCCAAATTGTGAGCATAATAAAATGGTCATTGTTTTATGCTTCTTAACTTCTGAGGCAGTTTATTGCAGAGAGCGGATAGCTGGAACTCCTGGGGATCTTTCAAAATCTCCCCAGGCCATTCTAATGAACAAGCATGTTGAGAATCACTGGTCTATACAATTAAATGCTATCTATCCATTTGAAATGAATAAAGAAGCTCTCTTTGGGGTCACCTGGCTGGCTCAGTCGGTGGAGCATGTGACTCTTGATCTTGAGGTTGTGCATTTGAGATTACTAAAAAAATTAATAAATAAACTTAAAAAAAGCTCTCTTTGTTCTGCTCTGGTATGATATCCAACTTATATTGTCAAGGGACAACTAGAAAGTTACTGGGACAATTTTTATACTATGCTACCATTTGTGTAGAAGAATTATGTAGGTATGGATTGCTTCTGGAATAATATATAAGAAAGTGGTAAGTAACATTTTTGGTCACAGAGAGGGAGACTGGATGGCTGGGGATCTGAAAAAAAATTTTTTATACCCTATGATAGCTTTCATATTTTAAAACATGTATATGTACCAATTTAATGGTAAAGAAATTCTGCCTGTTGCTTACCAAACCCTTTAGCCTGACCTGGCCTCAAACTTCATTTACAGGCTTATTGTGCACTCCTCCGATTTTACACTAAAAACTGGCTGTGTTAAGCAGAATAATGTCTCCCCCACCCCGACCCGAGATGTCCTAATGCCTGGAACCTGTGAGGAAAACTTTGCAGATGTGACCCAATTAAGTAGTTTGAATTGAAGACGTAATCCTGGATGATGTGAGGGGCCCAGGGTAATCACAGGAGTCCTTGTAAGTGAGAGAGGGAGACAGAAGTCAGAGAAGGAGAGCTGGGGAAGTGAGAGGTTGGAGTGATGTGGTTGCTGACTTTGAAGATGAAGCTAAGAGGGGCCCTGAGGCAGGGAATGCAGGAGCCTCTGGAAGCTGGAAAAGGCAAGGAAACCGATCCTTCCCTCCCCAGAGCCTCCAGAACCAACGCAGCCCTGGGAACACCGAGATTTTAGTCCAGCGAGACCCATTTCAGACTTGTGACCTCTAGAACTGCAAGATAATCAATTTATGTTGTTTTAAACCACCAAGTTTGTGGTAATTTGTAACAAAAGCCATAGGAAACTAACACACCGGTGTTTCTCCAGATGGTGTTCAAAGAAACAGGCCTTTTGAGGGAATACTAATGAAAACAATTAAAAAGTTCTCGGAAGTAAAAAAAAATCACAAAACAAAACAAACCCAACAGATTATTATAGTTTTTAATCAAGTTAAATGAAATATAATTTACACACAAAATGTACAGCAAAATATATGCATTTTTTTAAAGATTTTATTTATTTATTTGACAGAGGGAGAGAGAGAGCACAAGTAGGCAGACAGGCGGGCAGTGGGAGAGGGAGAAGCAGGCTCCCCACCGAGCACAGAGCCCGATGTGGGGTTCGATCCCAGGACCCCGGGATCATGACCCGAGCTGAAGGCGGACGCTTAACCAACTGAGCCACCCAGGCGCCCCAAAATATATGCATTTTATGTGTACAGGTCAATGAGTTTGACATATATATACATCCACGTAATCTACCATCCCAGTCAAGATATAGAACATGTCCATTACCTGACAAATGTTTCCTTGTGCCCTTTCCTCTCCCTGCAGCATGTCCCTTATAACCACTGACTTGCTTTTTTCACTAGACAAATAATTTTTTTTTAAAGATTTTATTTATTTATCTGACAGAGAGAGAGAGACACAGCGAGAGAGGGAAAACAAGCAGGGGGAGTGGGAGAGGGAGAAGCAGGCTTCCTGCTGAGCAGGGAGCCTGATGCTGGACTCGATCCCAGGACCCTGGGATCATGAACTGAGCCGAAGGCAGATGCCCAATGACTGAGCCACCCAGGCACCTGACAAATAATTTTTTTTAAAGATTTTATTTATTTTTAGAGAGAGAGAGAGTAGGGGGAGGAGCAGAGCAGGAGGGAATGAGAATCTCAAGCAGGCTTGGCACTGAGCACGGAGCCCAAATGGGGGCTCGATCCCACGACCGCGAGATCATGACCTGAGCTGAAAACCAAGAGTCGGATGCTTAACCGACTGAGCCACCCAGGTGCCCCTAGACGAATTATTTTTAACTGTGGGGTTTCACAGGATCTTTAATATGTTGAGACGGTTGTGAATGTCCAAGGAGACGTGCTGTGATGGGAGGTTGCATCTCTACGTTGTTTCTGACCGTGGGTCCTTTTGTTCTGCAGCATCTCACAGGATGCTTGAGAAATGCTTTCCTGCTCACCTGCTCAGCTCAGGCATTTCCTCCCTCTTGGAGTGCCCATCTCTCTCCTTCGAAAATGTACTCATGGATGAGCGCCTCCATGAAGTAGATCTTTCCCTCAGCTAAGTCTTATATTCTTTGTTTCTCATCTCCTGCAGCACACACATTGCATAATGGTTAATATTATAGCAATATTATATTTGCATTATAGGTACATGGTTGTATAGTCTTTTCTGAGGGCAGTGCATGCTATTTGCTTTACTGTTACATGATTACCAAGAAATGCTCAAGTGTTCATCAGAGTCAAAGAAGCTATGCTCCAAAGTAACTGTTGAGCTGCCCTGGACTTGGAGGCCTCACTTGTTAAAACATTTTTAAACTCTGCTTCAGCAACCCATAAGTGCATGAATTTAATAGGCTGATGGTGAATGACTCCCTCATCTTCCTACCCCATATCCAGCCCAGCACATTCCTGAGTCCTATGGCTTTTTCTTCTGAGTGGTGTCTCCCATCCTTAGCTTCCTTTCTATGCCCTCTGTCAGTGTCCTTGTTCAGGTTCTTACCCTGTCTCACCGGCATTTATTACAACAGCTTCCTAGATGCTCTCTCCACCCTCAGTCTTGCTCCTCCTCTCATCTATGTTCTAGTCTAATGCCAAGAGCCCGATCTTGTTCTTCTGCCTAAAAACCTCAATGCAGTTGCCCATTGCTTATAAGATCACATTGGAACAGCAAACTTGGTCCTCCCCACATGGGACCCTTTGCCTCTTAAGCTTCACCTCCTGTTCTCCTTTTCCATGTCCCCTCCATTCCAATGACTGTGGCTCCTCACAGCTTCCTGGGCACACTGTGTCCTTCCAAGGGGCCATGTTGTTCCTTCAACTTGGGATGCCCTTCTCCTTCTCCATCTGGCAAACATCTGGTCATTGGAAGACTGTTCCAAATATCACCCCAGGAAGACTTCTCTTCTTCCCAAGGTGCAATGAAATCTTTTGCTTCATTACATGTCAGTAGTAACTGACATGTAATGTCTTTGGCATAGCTCTTACCTAATTGCGTCTCAATTATAATGTATTGGTTTAGATGCTGCCTCCCTTGCTACAGTGTGAGATGTGTGAAACACAAGTGACCCACTTTATGTTTGTATCCCCAGCACTACCAGAACGTATTTGTGACCAATGATGACCAACACTTACTGAGTTTTTACCATGTGCCAGGCATTGCTCTAAGTGTCTTTGTTAGCTTGATTATTTCACTTATTTCTCACACAGCCCTATGAGGAAGATTCTGTTAATGTTTCTGTTTTGCAGAAGAGAAAACTGAGCCTTGGAGCCATCAGAGACTTTCTGATACAGCTATTTCTGTCTATTTCAAGTGGTAGAACTTGTATTTGAAAATGGGTTTATCCATTTGTTCTCCTAATACTAGCTATTAGTATTTCTTGAATGAATGATTGAATAAGTGAATGAATGCATGAACACAGTCAGTTATGTGAGTATTTAAAGTGTGTATCTTCAAGCAGCAGACCAGACCATTTCCTTGGCTTGGAAAAGGGAGAGGAAGTGTCCGGGCAGAGGGGATAGCATGAGTGAAGCTTGAAGATAAGGGGGTGCAGACTCAGAGAAGTGAGAAGACGTGCCCCAGGATGCAGAGTAGTAAGTGGCAGAGTCAGGATTTGAACTCAGGTGGGCCCTGAAGCTTGGCTCCTGCATCCAGGAGCCCCCTTCCCCAGGGAAATTCCAACGCTAAGCATTTCTGGTTGCAGGTTCAAAGAGTCAAGAGGGTGCTTGCCACCCCTTCCTTCACTGCCAACCGCCCACTCTCTGCTCGTCTCCAGACTTGAAGGTGAATGTGGCTGGAGAAAGACAAGAGGATGCTAATGTGTCACCAGGAGGGATCAGTGCTGCTGAACGAGCCCACGCTTCCCTGGTAGGTTCACTCTGTCTTCTACACAATTCCAAGCCTTATTCTTATACTTCCAGTATTCTCCTTCTCTCTCTCAACTCACAAACTTGATTCCTAGTTCAAGGAAAAATCGTAAACACTAGAGGAAACCTGTGGGAGCTCTGCCACTTTATTTACCAGCTTACTCATGTTGGGCACATATGTTCTGCCTTCCCCGGGATTATTGGGTCGACTCTCCATGCTCCTCTGTGGGGCTGGCCTCTCTTGTGTGCTCCATTTCCTCTTCTTCTGCCTATGAGAGCTTCATCAGCAATTCTTCCCTCTCCCTCAGGCAGTCATCTATAGATCACTCTCATCCACATACGCACATGCTGTAATTTCTCCTTCCTGGGGCTTTGCAGGTGCTGTTCCCTTTACCTGTCATGCTATTCCAAGAAATATTTGCAAAGCTTGCCTCTTTGTTTCCTTTGGATCTTTGCACAAGTATCCATACTATGTAAAAGGGCAAAAATTGCGGAGCTACGCTCTCCTTTCCTTTTGGAAGCAAAAGAGAAAAATGTGAAAACAAAGATTAAAAAAATTGTTTTAAAGTGCAAAAATTTCACCCTCCCTATCCCATTTTTATTTTGCTTCATAGTGTTTATCACCACTTGACATGTATAGACTATTCATTTGATCCTCCAGCACTGGGATTTTTTTTCCTGTTTTTTTTTTTTTTAAAGATTTTATTTATTTGACAGAGAGAAACACAGCGAGAGAGGGAACACAAGCAGGGGGAGTGGGAGAGGGAGAAGCAGGCTTCCCGCAGAGCAGGGAGCCCG